TGTTAAAGACAATGTCGAGAACAAGAACCACAGACTGGGGAAAAATGATTGTTAAAAGATACACATGTGGGCGGGCAAGACAGCTCGGCAGACTAAGCACCTACCTGGCAAGCACGGGGACCTGGGTTCAATCCCCATCCCCCATGCTGTGCCGGCCCTGCCCCCCACCCCAAGCTGAGCCAGCCACCGAGACTGGGCATGGCGGTGCACACCTGTAATCCCAGCACTGGGGAGGCTGAGACAAGGATCAGGGCAAGGTGGAGCTGCGTAGCGATACACTGTATCAATGTATTTTTTTTAAAAAGATACATATGATAAAAGACTGTTCAATAAAATATGCAAGTATTCTTAAAACTCAACAATAAGAAAGCAACCCAATTAAAAATGGACCATGATCTTAACAGACAGCACACTGTACACAGAATGAACAGCATATGAATAGGTACTCCATATAATATATCATCAGGAAAATGCAAATTAAAACATGAGCTACCATTACACACTCCTACTAAACTGGCCCAGATCTAGAATGCTACAACACTAAATGCTGGGAGTGATATGAAACAACAAACTGATTAACTGCTATTGGAATACAACGTGGTACAAACCCAATCTGCTGGTTTCCTCAGCTCCTTACCATACAATCTAACAATCACCTTCCTTGGTATTATCTAAATAAATTGAAAACTTAAAATCCTGCCCCAAAAGCCACACAAAATCCTGCTCACAAATGTTTATACTAGCTTTATTCATAGCTTTATTCGTAGTTGCCAAAACTTAGAAGTAACCAAGATATCCTTTAATAGAAAATTGAATAAACAATAGTACATTTAGGTAATGAAATATTATTTACAATTAAAAATAAATGAGTTATTTAGTTATGAAAAGATATGGAGGAAAATTAAATGTGTATTACTAAACGAAAGAAGTCACTTCATACACCTGTAATCCCAGCACTCGGGAGGCTGAGGCAGGATTACTGTGAGTTCAAATAGAGTTTGGGGTCAGCCTGAACTACACAGCCAGATCTTGTCTCCAGAGAAGGAAGAGGAGGAGCAGGAGGAGGGGAAGGGGAAAAGGATCAGGAAGAAGAAAAGGAAGAGGAAGCTACCACTCTGAAAGGACTACATAATGTATGATTCTAACTATATGACATTCTGGAAAAGATAATCTATGGAGACAGTGAAAAGGGCAGTGGGTTGCCAGGGATTACGCATTGAGTAGGGATGAATAGGCAGAACACAGGATTCTTAGGGAAGTAGAATCCTCTGCCCAACCCTGAGGGTGGATACAAGCCACTTTACATCTGTTGTAGAGTGCCTGAGCCGAGTGGCTCCGAGGTGTCAGCATAGACCCGCCAGTTTCAGAGCTTGCACCACTTTGGGGGGTGGCAGCGGCTCAGTGATGACGTGCAGGAGGCTGTGCGTCCTCTGGAGTAAAAGTACGTGCCAGTCTCTGCATCTTCCTCTTAATTGTGCTGTAAAAAGCGCTTTGCAAAACAGTCCTTTTGTTAAAAAGTTGTTTCATACCATTTACGTCCTAGGTATCACTTAACTAAAATGTAAATTTCTGATGTATGATTGAAATATATGGTGTTTAAACTTTTAAAAAAGGGCCAGCGAGATACCTCAGCTGTCGAAAGTCTCTGCTTAGGCAAGCTTGGTGAGGCGCAGGGGACTGTGATCCCTGGCACCACATGCCGTGCCAGCGCCACCCAGGGGCTGAGCTGGCCAAAAACAAAAAAGACTGAGGAATCTGAAGTCATGAAAAAAAATTTTTTTTTAATTTACAATAAAAGACACATTGTATTAATCCTCTTCCAAGCGCCCTCCATCCTAGTCCAGTGGCCCAGCGTTCTTGCCATTTTCTGAAGAAGATGTGGAAGTTCTCCAATGAGTGCCTTCACCAGGAGGGATTTAAAGGTGCAGTGAAGGGGCCGAGGAAATGGCTTAGTGGAATAAGTGCTTCCCTGGCAAGTGCAAGGGCATGAGTTCAATCCCTGGCTCCGCAAAAAAAAAAAAAAAAAAGAGAGAGAGATTAAAAGTGCAGTGAATATTGCTCTAAAGCAAACGATCCAAATCGATTCAGGACGTCGCGTAGCCGGAGCACAACTGAAGTCACTCACAAAGAGGACTGTATAGCTGATTTACAAGGTAGCATGGATACTGGGATACTCAGTGTGTTCAGAGCTGGGTGGGAGGATTTAAAAATGCCTTTTACTGTACTAGTTGGTTTTAACATTCAGTGCATATTTTGACCACATCTCCTACATTTATTTGTGTGATTATTTGATTAACATTACAGCTGGGCTGTAAACCGGAAAGCTTTTAATCAACACCAGTTCCCTCGCACTCAGCACACAGGATTCTTGGTTGTTTTTTTTTTGGTTTTTTGGTTTTTTTTAAAGGGTGTTCAGGGTCTCACTACGTAGACCGGACTCATAGAGATCAGCCTGTTTATAGCCTCCCAAGAGCTGGGATTGCAGGCACGCGCCACCGCGCCCAGCCTCAATTGCCATCTCAGCGCACCCTGGGGGCAGGGCCAGCATGGCAGGCCCGGGGATCAAACCCCTGGCCCCTATGCCTGCTTGCAGGCACTTTAATCTGAGCATATAGGATTTCAAAATTACTTGAAAATCTATATATAATTTATAAATATAGCAATTTTTAATGTATTTGGTACAGGGTCTCACTGCACAGCTCAGACTCATAGTGATCCGCCTGTCTCAGCCTCCCCAACACTGGGATTACAGGCGTATGCCACCATGCCCATGTGGCCTGCTCAGCACACCCAGGAGTGGAGCTGGCATGGCATGTGGTGCCGCGGGTCAATCCTGGTCCCTGCTCTTGCCTAAGCAGGCCCTTAGTCCAGTGAGCTATCTCACCGGCCCATAGAAAATACCTTTAAATCCACAAAAGCATTTTCTGAATGCCTCTATTAGAATTGTTTTGATAGAAAAATGAGGAGTAATGTTGAGAAGGGAAAAAAAGGCTTCCTTTTTTTTTTTACGTATTTAGCACAAGGTCTACAGGGTCTCACTACACATCCGGACTCATATGCTGAAATACCGTGCTGGCCCCACCCGGGGCTCGCTGAGCCAGCGACCATCTCCAGGCGTGGTGGCTAATGCCTGTAATCCCAGGGCCGGGGAGGCTGACAGGTCCAGGCTGCGTAGTGCAACCCAGTATAAAACACATAAAATTAAAATATGCTACAAACAAAAAATGTCTTGCTATTAACCAAACCTGATGAGTTGTTTATGAAAAGGTGTCAAATCTCATTGTAAACAGATACCTAGTATCGTTTTGGGTTTCTTTTTGTTGGTGGTTGTTTGTTTTTCTCTTTTGGAGCCAGGGCCTCACTAAGCAGTTCAGGCTGGCCTTGAGCTCACTTTGTAGCCCAGGCTGGCCTCGAACGCACAGCGATCCTCCAGCGAGCGCTGGGATTACAGGCGTGCGCCGCCACACCCGGCCCCCAGTACCATCTAAAACTTATCTTTTTCTTAACTGCAGAATTGACGTGAAAGACGACAAAAGTAGCTGCGCCTTTGCACGAACCCCGACAAGGGCCGTTTGGGGCTCCTGCGCAACGCTCTGGCCCAGGTCTCCACCAGCCCGCGAGCAGGGCGCGCGCGCTCCTCCCTGGCATTTGCGGAGGCTCGCGCGGGGTCGGCCGCCGGAGGCTGGCGCAGGCTCAGCAGCTTCCCAGGTGGGGCAGCCAGCCCTTCGCGGCCGGACCCAGGCTAAGGAGCGGGGAAGCCGCGGGGGCAGTGCGCCCCGCCGCCTTACCCTCGGGGCTCAGCGAGGGCAGCGTGGGCGGCAGCGGCCGGCCGAGCTGCTGC